TACTTTAGACGGGTAATCCTCCGGTGGTCGTTGCGCTGGAACCCCCATCCCCTATACTACTCGAAAATGTTATGGGGCTTGTAAAACGTTGTTAGGGCTAAGTTAAAACAAAGTCTGCAATGCTTGTTGTTCAGCGGTCCACACCATTTGTACCGGAGGAACCAATGCAGCTTCAGGGGAACACTTGCTGTCTTTGCAATAATGGCAACCTTGCAAGCCAAATTAGGAATAAATTCCGACTAGGGATAAATCTTTTTTTCACTAAAAAGATTGTTTCATTGTTGAAGATTCATATCTAATAAAGAAAAGTGCTCGACTCTAAAACACAATACGACATGATAATATTTTAATGACTTCCGATAAGAATGGTTATCGTACGAGTGAGAAACATACGGTACTGACTTACAGCACGTACACGGTACGACATGCCGTAAGTTGAAATGGCTTCCCATAAGAATGGTTATCGTATGAGTGGGAAACATACGGTACTGACTTACAGCACGTACACGGTACGACATGCCATAACATTGAAATGGCTTCCCATAAGAATGGTTATCGCATGAGTGGGAAACATACGGTACTGACTTACAGCACGTACACGGTACGACATCCCATAACATTGAAATCGCTTCCCATAAGAATGGTTATCGTACGAGTGGGAAACATACTGACTTACAGCACGTACACGGTACGACATGCCGTAACATTGAAATGGCTTCCCATAAGAATCGAAATTTATATATACTTCATTTGTAATCATTTATGATAATAAACTCTTGTTGGAAATATCCAACTATTTATTCATTTGTTCTAATTCTACATTTTCAATATTATAAAATAGAAAGAAGAAAAAAACAATTATTAGTGTTTTGTTATATACCAATGTCAAAGAAAAAATAATTATTACTTGTTATAAAATAAATTAAATAGTACGCACGCTGTGATTGGTTGATAGCCATGTTTGCATGAGGCTATGTAAACACAGTTGTGACGTCACAACTTTTGTGTCTTCGCGGTACAAGTTCAAAAATTTAAAAATTTACAGTTTCTTTTGAGGTAAAAGACGCCCCAAAAATGTATTCTGAAGACGAAGTTTCAAATTTTGACTTGTGTCAGGGCCACAGGCATAACCCTATGGTCTCATGCAGGTCTTTCTGATCGTAATATCATGACAATCTCTCGTTGGTCACCGCACAGAGAATTCCCTCAGTTGCTACAACACGCGTCCTCCGTCAGGACAGCTTCGGTTGTTTAGCGACGTGCTTTCTCATGATTTAAGTGCACCGACCGACAAAGAATACAAGTATTTCAAGGAAATAGTCAGCAGCTTCAAACTTTTTCCAGCGATAGCTCTTCAGCTCCGAAAAATATGTTCTCGAGGCAAGACGAAACAATCAACTTCGCTTCCATATTTTTCTCGCTGTCAAATTGAGCAAAACCACGTTTCTTTCAACCGAGAATTCCCTTGACAGTGACACTTGTTATCCGCTTTTGATCACTTTCGTATTGATAATCAATTCTGAAATCTTTTATTAAGATTTCTTTTCAATCTTTGAACATTTCTTTGTATTTGTTTTAAAGTTTTAGAAGTGATAAATGTTTAAGATAGCTAGCGATTCTTTCTCGCTTCACATTTGCCTCGACGTTTATTACACGAAATTTGACTGGCTAACGATCGAAGTTCGTGATGTATGGAGAATTTGTATTTTGATATGAGAATCAAATTCAAATAAAGATTTCTTTACGTTGCAAGCGGTAATGTTTTCCCTAAGTATTTATTTTATAAAAGCAATAAAAAAATTTTTTCTCTGTGTTTACATAGCCTGATAGCAACACTCGGGGGGTTGGGAAAATTCTCGACAGTTATGCAAACCCTCGACTACGTCTCGGGTTTGCATAACTGTCTCGAATTCTCCCAACTTCCCCTCGTGTTGCTATCAAGGCTATGTAGACACGGAAAAAGTTTTCTATTGCTTAAATGTTTTGATGTAGAAAAAACTTAGAAAAAATTACATTTCCGTGAAAATCACTTCCGGTATTGTTATTACTGGTCAATAACATATAGTGTTGCCCTCTGAGAGCCGTTGCTGGGGAAACATCGAAACTTGCTCACGTTCACGTGATACCCTTTCGACCAATCATAGGAAGAGAGAAATGGACTTTGACAGTTGGTATATAACAATTAACACTTACTTATTGCCTTCTAACAGAGAACACATTAAAACAAAGGAGTTATATTAATTGTCTATGATCTATCATCTGCTAAGCATCCGTGTTTTTCTTTATCATTTCTTGTTATAATTCATATTCTCACGGCTTGCGTGCTAATCCAAACTTGACTTGTGTAAGCATTCGCCCAAGAGAGAGGTACCGGGTAGCTCTTCATCTACTTCATCTACATTACATGTATCAGATCTACCCTTTATATATTCTAAACCCGTGGGAATTGCCCAGGGTATTCTACAAAAGTGACGTTAATACTAAGTAAATAGAAGATATAGATAAAGATTATAAGGTATTATTAAGATACAGATATAGTTAAGATATATAGTTTTGACTTTAACTCTAATAGTTACGTTAATACTGAGTAAATAAAAGATATAGATAAAGATTATAAGGTATTATTAAGATACAGATATCGTTAAGATATATAGTTTTGACTCTAACTCTAATAGTTGTGACTTCATTTTTTGGGTTCGTAACACTTGACGTACTACAAGATAAAAAGATAAAAAGGAATTCCAATACATTGTGCTGCCAATAAAATGTGAGTATTCTCAGTCTAATTTTAACGTGTTATTATATTTGTAGTCATAGTCAGGTGAGTGATGGTGATGATAATAGTGGTAGCTATTTATAGTGTATTTCAGCTTATCCAGTTTATCCAATGCCGTAATACGCCTATAATATTCTCACGGCTTGCGTGCTAATCTAAACTTGACTTGACATACTACAAGATCAAAAGATAAAAAGGAATTCCAATACATTGTGCAGCCAATAAAATGTTAGTATTCTCAGCCTAATTTTAACATGTATTCTATATATATCGTTCATCTATATTTGTAGTCTATAACATGTCCACTCATTCGTTATCTGCTCTATCATTTAACAAACACGCTTTTGAGCGTTATATCATCACCCATGATAAAAAATGGCGCCCAGTATTTTGGATCTGTATACTTGGAAGTGTTTCTCATCTCGTTCATTGTCAGCTGTAGACTCGTACTGGCACTTTTCCCATTTTTCAGATTACCATAAAACGATGTCATGAAATCGAGTGATGCATGGTCATCGATGGCCCACAGAGACGCTACCACTGCACGAGCACCTGACGCTAGAAAGGCTCGACACATGCTAACTACTCCTTCAGCTCTGATTTCACCACGTCCACTGTGACAGCAGCTTAACACAACTAACTGTGCACGTACTTGAGCCTTCTGTACATCAGCCATGGTCAGCATGTAATCTTCTTCATCTGGGATCTTTGTTGCTCTTGCATCAGGAGAGGGTGCAAGTACGATGGTAGCTTTTGATAGGATACCATGTGCAGCAATGTGAACCACAGATACCCCTTTTTGTAGTTTCTCTAGGACAGCCTGCTTTGTGGCTGCTTCGCCTATTAGWGGCTTAACACCAAGTTTATAAGCTATTACGATTGCTTCTGCTTGTGCACCCAGCAAACCGTCAATATCCTGTTCTTCTCCATCCATCATTACCTTCCCAACCAAWGGATTACCAATAATCAAAGGCTTGGCATCGCTGGTCTGGTCTGTTGGGAAGTCTTCAAAGTGCTTTAAAGTCGCTAATGAAGGAGCAAGTCTAATGCGCTTTGTCTCTGATAAATACTTTCCCGTGCGAGGATCTTGTAAAGCGGGAAAAGGCACTTGGTATAAGGGACCATCGGGAATAATAACAACCTCTTCTTGCTTCGACGATAGTATTTTATCACATTCTGATATATCAAATAGATCTTCTAGAGTAGATCCCTTGGTTTCAGCACTATTCTCATTAGATTCTCCTCTGTTCGAATCGAGGTTCAGCAGTAATGCCGTTGCTTGATTAAGTTCCTCGTATTCTTCTTGGCTTCTTCTTTGTTCTTTTTGAATATCTTCTTCTTTGTCCAAGGACCTGTTCTCACAGTTAACCACCTCACGAACACCCATTTCGTTAAACAACGTAACGACGTCTATCTGTAGCGAATGATTACTACACAATGAATAATGCAAATTTGTCTCCCCTCCAACAAAAAACTTCAGAAAACCATCAAAACAAAGTGAGTAAAAGGCAATGCTGAAGTCATTTCTTGAGACCAGAGACAAAACATCGCTGTACTCTAGGTGTTCATCATTGCTCTCCTCTTGTTTCATCTTGAAGTGTGACATCATAAGATCTTTCAAGGCTCTTGCACGACAACGATCTAACACTAAAAGCCCTTCCTTCATCTGGTCGCCTTTGATTAACAGTATTGCCAACAGCTTATAACTATGAAAATATTCGTCGAAAATTGAGATCTTGAATTCATCATGAGTACCAAGTGTGGTAAAGATCGCTTCAAAGCATCGTATAGCTTCTCTTAGACAATGTTCTGCCAAGTCCAGTCCTATTTTCAATTCATACAATAATTGACCAAAGCAATGATAGAATTGGGATAGGTGCCTATCATTATCAGGACAAGACTCAGCAAAAGATAGACCTTCTTCGAAACTGCGTAAAGCCATTTCATTCTGACCCATCGAATGATACTGGTTTCCGATTTGTGCACAACAGAACAAGTTGAAAGAACGACCGATGTCCATCTCCTTCATCTGCTCAAGGCAATTGATTGCTTTTTCATAATCTCTTTTGACATGATACAAATTGTAAAGCCTCAATAAAACTCTATGTTTCTCTGACTTATCGCCTGTCTTCACCGCTTGGTCAAGATCCTGTAGAAGCTCATCTTCAGAACATGTTGGTACCTCTAATAATTCCTTTACTGAGGGAGCATCAACCTTCTCACGCAAACCAACTCTGGTATAAAGAGTAGAACGAATTTCTTTTAATTTTTCTTCAGCTTCTTTGTCTCCAAGCTCTGTAGCAATCGCCATGCCTGCATCTATACTCTGAGACGCTTCATTCGACTGCAACGAGTGATTATATACTTGAGCGAGAATAACATGTCCTTCCATCTCAGTTTTTTTGTCGCCAATTTCTTGAGAGATGTCTAGGCATTTCTTACCGTATTGGATGACATTATCGATGCTTTCCTTATCACCTGATGCGTGGTATACAGACGAAAGAACGAGACATGCTCGTGCTTCAATCTCTTTCTCACCAGTTTTCTGTGCCACGTCGATGCATTTCTTAAAGTATCGTGCTGCATCATTGTAATGTTTCAGTATAACATATATCTCTACTATACCCAGATACGCTGCTATATCCGCTCTCTTTACGAGGCCAGTACGGTTCACGATGTCTATACATTGCTGGTAATTCTGAATGGCTTCATCGTATTTCTCCAAAGACCGGTATGCCTTTCCCAAAGTCAGATATGCATTAATGTCAGCAGTTGTTTCTTCATTATCTTCCTTGTCAATGTGAAGACACTTGTTGCAGTTGGAAATGGCATCATCGTATTTCTCCAAGGAATAATATATATCTCCAAGTAAGCTATAAATACCGGCCTCCTCTCTCTTTTCGATGCCAAAACGGTTCACGATGTCTATACATTGCTGGTAATTCTGAATGGCTTCATCGTATTTCTCCAAAGACTGGTATACCTTTCCCAAAGTCAGATACGCAGTAACGTGAGCACTTTTTTCTTCAATATCTTCCTTGTCAATGTGAAGACAGTTGTTGCAGTTGGAAATGGCATCATCGTATTTCTCCAAGGAATAATATATCTTTCCAAGTAAGCTATAAGCATGAGCCGCAACATCTTTATCGCCAATAGTTATTGCAAGCTCAATACACTTGTTGCCATAGATAATTGCATTGTCGAAGTCGGAAAGAGCGTTATATATCTGCCCCATTAATAGGTAAGCCCTGACTTCAATGCGTCTGTCTTCTATTTCCCTTGCTATTTCAATGCATTTCTGTCCAAAGTCAATGGCCTCTTGATAGTGGTTCAATGCACGATGTGCTCTTCCAAGCTCTAAGTACACTTTCATCATAATCTCCTGATTTTTGTTTTTCATGGCGCAATCAAGGAACTTGTGCGCATACAGAATAGTGTCATCATATTTCTGCATGTTTTCATATGCGACCCTTATGCAGTCATATGCCATCATCATGCCATCAGCACTATCAATTTCCTGGGCAATTGTAAGACATTTCTTGCCACAGTCAATAGCATCATCATAACGAGCTAAGGAAAAAAATGCATTTCCCAGCCTTAAGTACGCATTCATCATAGCCTCCTGATTGTTGTTTTTCATGGCGCAATCAAGGAGCTTGTGCGCATACAGAATAGTGTCATCATATTTCTCCATGTATTTATATGCGACTATTATGCATTTATATGCATTCATCTCGCCATCAGCACTATCAATTTCTTGGGCAATTTTAAGAAATTTTTTGCCACAGTCAATAGCATCATCATAACGAGCTAAGGATGAAAACCCATCTCCCAGCATTAAGTACGCATACATCATAGCCTCCTGATTGTTGTTTTTCATGGCGCAATCAAGGAGCTTGTGCGCATACAGAATAGTGTCATCATATTTCTCCATGTTTTCATATGCGTCCATTATAAGGTTATATGCTTTCATCTCGTCGTCTGCACTATCAATTTCCTGGGCAATTGTAAGAAATTTTTTGCCACAGTCAATAGCATCATCATAACGAGCTAAGGATGAAAACCCATCTCCCAGCATTAAGTACGCATTCATCATAGCCTCCTGATCGTTGTTTTTCAAGGCGCAATCAAGGAGCTTGTGCGCATACAGAATAGTGTCATCATATTTCTCCATGTATTTATATGCGACTCCTATGCAGTCATATGCGATCATCATGCCTTCAGCACTATCAATTTCCTGGGCAATTTTAAGACATTTTTTGCCACAGTCAATAGCATCATCATAACGAGCTAAGAATGAAAACGCATTTCCCATTTCATGATGTCCATACATTTCGTTTTCTTTATCGCCTATAGTTTGAGCAATTTCGATCCATTTCTTGGCGTGCAAGACAACGTTTTCAAACTCGTTGAGCTCCCTATATGTGATGGACAAAAACTGATGAACCATTAACTCATAACATGGTATTGTTACAGCTAACGGTAATATTTCCTTCAGACACCTCAGTGAATCAGCATGTCTACCTAAGCTGTTGCTATGCACTACGTACTGCATGCATGATTTTATCATGGTACCTATATCATAACAGTGTTTAGCCATCTCTATGCATTCTTTGTACAGACAAATCAGCTGTTCAGTTGACAGTCCAAGTTCCTCTGGCAACATGGAGGCAGACGCAAAGCAAAACCTTACAAAAGTAGTCTTCTTGAACATATCCATCTTCAGCTTTACTTGTTATTCAACATTCATCTAAAATCAAACAATAAATTGATAATTAAACAAGCACACACGAGAACGAACGAAGAAAGTATTTTTAAATATTGAGAATTGAAATCAAGAAAAACATTTTGTATACATCAGTGGCAGATCCAGGAATTATAGAAGGGGGGTTACAAAGGTTTTACCAGGAATACCAGGAAAAGAGTATCAATACCAAGGTCTATTGAGAATCGTGTAGATTGATGGAATGGGTTGTGTTAGGGTTTTTTATGAAGTTTTTATCCTAAACTTTATACTCATGATAGATCATGTTAAGAACATGATCTAGTGAAACATTTTGCTTCTTGTCTGTCCATATACCAACAGTCAAACACACTAGTACCTTGTATTGACCGTCAATTATATGAGAATCAGTGTCGTGTGGTTAAGAACATGATCTAGTAAAACATT